ATTGTATTTTACAGGATTATCAACCGTCATAAACTGAATTTATTGGTCCAACACATCTCATGCAAATAATTTTGTTGCATTTCACTGACTGAGATTTGAGGAATTTGAAAAACAGGATAATTTCACTGAGCATTTTATTGTGTTTCTTAAACCAAAGCAATTCACATAAAGCAGCAAGAAAAATCATAATGTTAAAAAAATAACCTTCATTGAAAATATGGTTTCCATAAAAAGATTTATCAGGCCTTAATATGATAGTTATAAACAATAGTTTGTAAATGTATCAATCAGTAGTTTGTAAATGTATTTTTTCTGATAAATAAATAAAAACAGGTAATTTTTAACTTAAGTGAGGCTCCTGAACATTAAAATAAAATGTTTGCAACATATAATATTTTTATGTGATGAGAGTTAAGTGGATACCAATCAGGGTCGGGCAGATATTGGGGTAAAAGGAGTAAGAAGGAGTAAAAGAACGATTCCAACTGCAGTTTTTGTTGTAGAGTTTAAATTTGAAATGAAATTAAAATGAATTGAAAAAATTAATGACAAACTGAGTTATTATTTTTATTTATGGACTATATATAGACTAAATTGTTATTTTCTATTTTATTGACATATTAATAAATAAATGTAAGGAAGGAGAATGGATGTGATATTTGCCATTAGTGATTAAACTGATTCATTTAGTTACCAATCTCACTAGTAAATTTAGGTAAACAGCAATAGCAACAAGAACTCCCAAAATTGATATCATTCTTAGGAAGCGAGCAGGAAAAAGGAGCAATTATAAATCAAGCAACGTGATAAGGAATTACATATTTGATGATAAAGTGGATTTTAGAATTAAGGACTTTTTTAGAAGATGTAGATAACCCTAATGTTTCACTAACAGAAAGACTGTGGAATGATCTTGCAGAATTGGAAACTCTTCTTTCTACACTGAATACAGCCACAAAAAAAGCTGCAATCTGAATTTCGAGGCGAGAATGGAAGAATGGGATGTTTGTCCTTTCTGAAATGGAAGGTTTATTGCAGAAGGAATCATTTCTTCAATGAAGAAAAGAGAAACTATTTTGCTAGGTTCAATATATGTAGATCCAAAACACCGAATTTTCTTGGATGACGAGCAAATTAAAAAGGCAAAGAAAGCCATCTATGAACTTTCATTAAGAATGAAATTATTCTCAGAACAATTGGAGAATTCGAAACAGGACAGTCAAACTGCAGACATTGCAACTGAGGAGTCATTAACATCCTCTTCCAGTGATGAATTAGATTTTGAGAAATATTTTTGGATAATACTGAAAAGGCTAAGGCAAAGCGAATGAAAATAAAGAATCAAGGGCCTTTAGATATAAAAATGAAAAACACAAACAAGATTTCTACATGGCCTTTGAAGAAATAGAAAAATATGATTGTGCTTGCAAGACACCTCTTTTGAACTTATAAAAATCTATCCTGAAAAGTTAAAAGAAGTAGCCCTAATAGTAACAGGCTTCTTTCTACTCAAGTTAGTGTGGAAAGACTCTTCTCAGGTCTGAAGTTTATCAAATCGGGTCTATGGCCCTCCAGCAAAGAAGATCTTGCCGGAGCTATACTGTTTCTTATAAATAACTAATGCCAGATTTTCCATTTCCTAATAAATGCTAATTAATATAAATAATTTTCTATACCATCAATTTTTTTCTGTAGCACTTATTACTTCTTTTACATTAAAAAAAATGAGCTGTAACCCATGTATATATTTTTATGAGGGAGTCAGAGTTGGTGCTGGTCATTTTCTCTACCGACTCCACAGCCCTGATACCGACAAAATAGACTTCTAATTTTGTTAACATATAATTCTCATCATGCCACTAATATCCTTAATTATGAAATCTGGTCAGATGATACTTCTGTTTAATGTAAAAGGTAACACAGAATATAATACATTAATGTTACTATTGAAGAAGTTTGTCTATTGACCAATACTATGTTTAAAATCTCTAATTTCAGAATTTTTTTTTCTAAACCAATCTTTTCAGTATTTATGAAACTTTCTACATTTAAGAAAATTTCAATTCTGGCAAAATAGAGTAGTTTTTCAGTGAAATTCAAAATCTGTAATTTCGTTGCTACCGTGGAGGTCATTATTGAAATTCTGAGAAAGGTGTGTGTATGCACGCATGCACACGGGAGGAGAGTTGTGTATATCATTAAAGAAACATATATTATTTATCGGGAGAAAAGGTAAAAATTAATAAATAAGCCAAGAAAATTAAGGAAAAATAATAACAATTTAAAAGCATATTTTTTAATGTGAAACATTTTATTTCTGATGATCTCTTTTATGAGAGTTTTCTGGTTATTAGTTATTAAGTACAGACTTAATAATGTTTATTATTATATTGAGTACTTTCTTATTATTGCAGTCTCTGTTTTTTAAATCCCAATTTTGCATCAGAATAATAGCCAAGTTCATGTTTGCTTCTCACATTTATTTTGTGTCTGCCATGTTCCTGCAACTGCTTTTAATATGACATCAGCTGCAAAGACTTATTAAAATGGCTAACAGTAACTCATTGATTTTTATTATGCCAGTTAGCAGAGTGCTTACAGTCTTTCAGCATTTTGTTTAAAAGCAGCTATTGTTGGATCAAGGAAATGAAATTTCTGTTTCACAGGAAAATGTCCCTAACCTGCTTTTACCAATTCTGTTCTATATGTTCACCAACAGTCTGAATAAACCTTCCATTTCTCTTCTACATGATCTATTTTTGCCATGAGTGTGGTTGCCTCTCTATTCAGAGCATGAGCTAGAAGGAAGTCACCATTTTCTTGGCAAAACCCACCAAATATCCAGTATTATGAAAGAAACTTCAGGCCTTAGTTTTACTTATACAAAGTGATTTTTCTTTATGTACACAATTTTTTCAGGGCTACATATTCGCTTATTTAGTTCTCAGATTAGATGTAGAGAACACATCTTTCTTGTAAAATTATTCCAGTCAGTAGTTGTATTTTTGTAAAGGCTGGATTATTTCTTCCACAAATTAATTAATGCCGGTTTCTGTGTTCAACAGTAAATAAATTGTTGCACTGATACAAAGAATATTCTGAAAACACTGATCCAATTGTTAAAATGTGTCTTTTCCTTCACTTGCAGCTTTTCATATTACATCTTTAATTTATTGATATGCAGTTATATTTAATGGTCATTTTTGCATACTTGAATATGCGATAAAATGTATCTTTCTTGAAAGAAATATCTTGCTCACTTTTGGTACAGCAAACATTTTAAACACTTTTTTGAAAAAATATGTATGTTAACACATGGAACACTTGGAGCTGTTCTTATGATGAGAAAATTATAATTGATCATGAATTGCTAACATTTAGATGAAAAAAAGAAGATACAGGATGTGAGTCAGAAGTTTCAAGACTGGTTCATTTCTGAGTAGGGGAGCTCAGAAATGAAACTGGCTCTGCCAGGTGGAGGAAGTATTGGGGGGGGGTCTCAGGGAATGAACTGACGCTGCGGCAGTTGCCTCTGGAACCTTGGAGAGTGCGCATCTCTTGCAGCGTGAGTGCGTGTCATTGAGCTCGGTCAAAAAGTGGGTGATGCGAAAATAGAGCAGCACTTGGAGCAACATTATGCAAATAAGTTTTGCGTGCAACTGAACAAAACCACCACGGAGATGTTCGGTATGATTCAAGAGGCCTTTAAGGAAGAAGCCATGTCCTGTGCAATGGTTTTCATGTGGCACAAACGTTTCGAAGATGACCGCGGGAATGTTGAAGACGACGACCGCTTTGGGAGGCCATCATCAAGCCAAACGCATCAAAATGTAGAGAGAATGCTGTAACTTTTAAACAATGACCATCGTCTTAGTGCTACATTAATTGCCGATGAATGGGGACTCAGTCTGGGTACGGTGTGGAGGATTGTGATGGAGAATTTGATGATGCGAAAAGTGTGTGCCAAAATGGTGCCAAAAGTTTTGTCGATGGATCAGAAGAAACGGCGCATGACTGTTTGCTAGGAAATGCTCCAACGGTTGAATATTGATCCAAACCTTCTGGAGAAAGTGATTACTGGTGATGAGACCTGGGTCTACGAATACAATCTTGAGTCGAAGTGTCAAACCTTAGAAAGGCACACTGCTTCCTCGCCGAAGCTCAAGAAAGCTCGCATGAGCAAGTCGCATGTGAAATGCATGCTGATTGTTTTTTTTTTATGGTAAAGGATTGATACACAAGGATTTTGTTGCTCGTGGACAGACTGTCACAGGTGACTTTACCCTGGAGTGCTTCGCCGCTTGAGGGACCAAGCCCACCTCATCCGCCCTGCAATCAAGGGCGACTGGATTCTCCACCACGACAATGCGCCCGCTCACATGTCGCCCGCCGTCGGTGAAGTTTTGGTCAAGCTCAACGTGACAACACTGCCGCAGCCATCCTACAGCCCCAACTTGGGTCCAAGTAACTTTTTCCTCTTCTCCCGAATCAAGCAAGTGAAGCGATTCGACTCCATCGACGCCATCCAGCATAACGCCCAAGGCCTTCCAGAAGGGCTACGAACAGTGGAAGATGCGCTGTGTTGATAATGAAGGATCATATTTTGAAGAATTTTAGTCCACTGTACTTAAATGTCCAATAAATTTCTAGGTCTTGAAACTTTTGAATCACACCCTGCATGAGTAGACATGGCTTACTTGGTGTCTTTTTCATGAGCAAATTATAAATGATTGTTGCGAAGGCTGGCAATCATTTGAAGATGAGTTGCACTGATAATTTATTGATAATCTTGGTGCCATTTATGAAATGGGGCTGTAACTGATACCTTTTTTTTTTGGTACTTTCATTAAAAAAAAATTCATTCCAAAATGTAAATAAATATAGAAAAGCATAATTTTGAATTTTTTTTAATATTTCATTTAATAAACTGCTGAAGAAATTATCATGTGTGAAATAAATTCTGTAAGTTTCTTTTGCTTATTTTAAATATTTATTTTCAGATGAAACTTTTAAAAAATATGTGTCCGATTCTGCATTCATGAAGGTAAGATTTATGCATACTGAAATTTTGTTTTTGGTTTTCAGAAAATGTATTATAAAAATTAAGTAGCAATTTGTGGTAATGTTTCATAATATGTCTATTAGATTCAAAATGATTTTCAGCAGCTCAGAGCTAGTTGCTTTATTACTATCATTAATAAAATGCAGATACTCCATTGTTGTCTCAATTTGTTAAAGTAGATGTAACACCTTACTAAAATTAACTCCCCTCCTTTTTTTTTTAAATTTTGAAATAAAATTTTGCATATACGTGGTTTAGTCCCCTCTACTCTCTAAGAATGTATTCTAGGTAAAACTGCATTTGCTCAAAGTTGCACTAAATGTTACCAAATACAGCAAAATATTTACTTTTTTTATCTTTTTTTTTTTCATTTTGTTTGATGTTTAAATTTTGTATGATATATATGATCAATACAAGCTATCGTATAAAATTTTCACTGAGTTTAGTATTATGAATCATACCTGACTTATATATGCTACTTTGTTTAATTTATATTTCATGAATCCAATAATTAAATTTAATTATTAAGAATTATAATGCTGGTTTAGATTTATTATTGTAACAAAAATAAGTGCTTAAATAAGTCTTTGAGAATCTGTTAAAATGTTCTTACTACAAAGGGGTTCTGATATATACCACAGTAGTTGCACAGAATAAAGGCATGAAATAAAGTAATATTGCTGTGGAGTGCATGAACTACCTTAAAAAAATTTAATATTTCTGTAACATGTAAGCAGTTTGAATCGAGTATGAAATAGTTTTGTCTGGTGTTTTGTAACTGGAATTAAATTGAATGAAATTTGATGTTGTGCTGTGACCAGTGTCCCCTCCCCCCAATTAAGTGAATATACATAATTTACATTTCATTATGTGCATTCAATTATGTTAAAATAAATAAAGAATTTAAAATGAGAGAAAGGTAATTTAAATATTGAGTAAATAATAGAGGACACTGGTTATTATTTTTTTTAATTGTGTTAGATATATGATAATATTTTAAGCCTTAATGGAAATAATGAAATTGATTTAAAAAAACTATTTTATAAGGAAGTCATAAAAATAGAATCTGATAGTCTGAGCAATCTGTCTTTTATATTGTTCGATGGAAATTTTATTTATATTATTAGCTTTTTTTAACCCTTTAACTGCTTAAGACGTGTTTAAACGTTTTTGGAATTTCTTTAAAAATGCTTAAGACATCTTTACACGAATTTCAAATCGCATGAAAAATGCTTAAGACGTGTATACATGAAGCCCGAATTTCGCGAAGATTGCTTAAGATGTGTTTAGACGACGCGATCTGGTCTTCCTTCCCCTACCTTTCTGCAAGCGGCTGTCAGTTGACACAAAGGTCTTAATAGGGTGTGAAGTCTCTTTGAAAAGAGCACTTTAGGAAAAAGTCCTTAGAGTGAAGTATCTTTGTCAGACAGCAGGTATGTATTATCTGTGTGTGCCGACTAAAAGTTTGCGAAAGAAGATAAATCGTTTTACAACTGTTTGCCTTGTGGTACTTTATACAAATGAAAGTCAAACAGGATCCGACGTTGTTATAGTACATTGCCGAATTTTAGTAGAAACAAGAAAAAATAAGAATTGTAACGGAGGACGCCTTTATGCCTATATGTTATAGAATCAAATATTTTATTTTTGTATTGAAAAATGATTACAATTTCTGATTCGTCAGGAAAAAATATAAAATGTTGCAACCAGCTTTCTTGTTTGCCTTCGTATTTCAAATGCGCGTTATTATAATGGTATATTCTTCTTTTTACATTCTTAAATGTTAAAACTGTGCTTTCAGCATGCCTGAGTTTTGTACTCGTATGTGTGGCTCTATGCTCCGTAGAAATGGCGAACTGACATATAAAAATTATATGAATGTTGAAAGGAAGAAGATATTCTACTCGAAACTTCAACTAAATGGAATAAATGAATACGCCGAAGGAATTTCTAGAAATATTTGTTTTAAAAATTTTATTATTAAGATTTTAAATCCAAAATGTTTTAAAATCTAAAGAAAAAATATGTATTCCTTGAAACATTTTTGGAAAGAAATCTATCGATATAAAATCTCTTAAAATTAATGGAGTGTAAATTAATTAAAACAGTTAGTGTACGGAAGGGTTAGATATACTCCGCACAAAAAATTACAGTCAGAAGATCAATTATTTAAAGAATTAAATTAATTACATTAAAAGAATTTAAAATAAATTAACATCTGTCCAAATGTCAATGCTAACAGCAATAGCACGAATGAAAGTTATTCTTTAAATTCCGAACTTAATTCATCCGTCGGTACGCAATGATTGTGTCTTTGCGATTACTTTTCTTATAGATACTACAAAAGGCCGCCAACGAAGTAGCGGTAAAATCGTTGAATACTAATAGTTTGAAGCGGGTTCAAATCCTGACGAATGGATTGCCTGCATACCAGTTTTAGCGAATTTTTGCTGCCCATGTTTAATGTGAATATGAGCCAATTTTAGTTAGCTTTTCATGATGACGTGCCTTGACTACGAGTCCTCGCTCGGGTTGTGTTTGGTTTGGCTTGTTAGATTATTAAGCACGTGAAGGCGATCTGTCTAAGGGGAGGTATGCTTTCGTGACAGATTTTCTAAGGGAAACAATCTCGCACTACAAAAAGTTAAAACCATAAAAACGCCCATGCAATCAGCTTGTTCACGGGGGTTTGAATGCAGGTCAAACTACCAGTATGTTAAGAGAAGCGATTTCAAGAATGTTTAATTATTTTATTTAGTTTGTCATAAGCTAAATAAAATAATTAAACATTCTTGAAATCTCTTCACATTACTGAAATGGCAATAACTTCGAATTATACTATGCTACCACTTTTCCTCTAATATGAAATTTTGAACTTTTCCGTTATCGGACAGCCCACCAGCGACTGAGCGGAGTCTAACGGAACAACTGGTGGTTCTGTCCGGGGTTCGAATCCCGGCAAACGGGCTGGTTGCCAGGATGATATTCTTAGTTTTCCATATGTGTAACATGTATGCAAGCCAATTTCCGTTAGGCAGTCCTCGAACGAAGGCATCCTTCACCTTAGGCAAATAACCATCGAGTACTTTGCCATAATCAAATAAAACCTTTATCCATAACATGCTTCAAATATTTTTATGTTGAAAAGTTCATGCGCCAAAGTTGGCCCCCGTTGAATGAAATATGTTGTTTATTTTTTCTTTGTTTTTTATAACAACAATGTTCTTGTTTTCAGAATCTGAATTATCAATAAAATTCTTTTAATAATATGCGATTCTATTTTGTTTTTTTGTTTAATGAAAAATTAATTTAAGCGACAAATCTCTTACATTTAGAAAAATTTTCGATTTTCGAAACGAGTTGCTGTCAAAAGCGCATCTTCTCGTTGCTGCATATATTTATTTAAAGCAAACTGCTTGGCGCGTGTGCTTTTATATTTGAAAAGATTCAGAGAATTTTCAACAGGGAAATAAAGTTATTAATTTTACTGAATTTTGTGGATTCTTTGTGTTTTGAGGTAAAAGTCAAACCATCAGATATGTGATAACCTTAAAATAAGGGTATATATAATCAGGATTTTGCGGCCAGACATTCCCAGCGAAATACATTACAAAAAATTATCTATGTAGAATTAATGTATATTCCGTTTAGTATTTTAATTTATCAGTGTTATTACACATCAGTTTATCAGTGTAAGTTATATCGAGTTTTAGTTGTGTTCGATATAAGAATTTTATTTGGTTTATATAAATCCGATTCGTTTAATAATATTATATTTATTAAATACTATTTATTAGGTTTCCAAATCTGTCAAACCCAATCAATGGCCTCCTGGCTAGGATATCTGATTAATGCTATTTCGACTTGTATTCGAACCCAAACAAACGAACTGGTTGCATGGTTGAATTTTGTGATTTTCCCTATGTGTAACATGAACATGAGTACGTTTTACTTAGAAAGTCGTCCATGGAGACATTCATTGCCTTCGGCTGATAGATCTCGTTTCCTTTGCCATACTCAAAAAATCTAAAAATTTTTCAAAAAGACTAACAGATGCATATAACAAAATAAAATTAAGTAAATGCATATAAGAAAATAAAATTAAGTAAATGCATATAAAAAAACTGAAGTAAATGTATATAACGAAAAAAAAAATGAGGTAAAAACAAATTTTCAATAATTTTTCAATACAGTAGTTTTTAAATTGCTTGTTTTCAAATTTTATTTCATTTTTATGTATGTACTAATATACAGTGTATGTGTGCGAAAGTGTGCTTGTTCGGCATATCCATATATATTAATTAAATAAATCTGATTTGAAAATGCATGCACTAACGCGCTATTCTCGTAATTTGAAAAACACTAAAGTATTGTCTGAGAAAAATATTTATAAAGAAAATTAAATTTCGTCTCCTTACTCGGTGCTGTGTAAAAAATTTAAATAAGCTTATTAATTTTTTCTTCTTTATTAAAAACAAATTAGTTTCTTTTCATCTATATATGAAAAATAACAAAATCTTGCTGTCAGAATGGAAATTCTTAAAAATATAAAACTCGTTTTTTTTCGAACAAAAGTTTCTGAGAAATTTCTCTAGGTCAGCAGGTAGTAACAGGACCACTGACTGCTTTGTTTGAAAAAAACCCGATGAAGTGGATGATTTTACCCCCAAAAGGTTTTCTTTAACAAAGCAGATGCGGTCCAAATGGCTTTGCTGAGAAGCGTTCGTATTTGAATAGCTTGAAGCTTGAAAGCTTGAGTTGGAAGACTTATTGTTCCCGAAGCAATCAGTCAGACAGCAATAAAATTTGTTATAGATATTTCTCTCTCTCTCTCTCTGTGAGTTCTTGAAATCTTGGAATGGGTGAAAGTTTATTTTGTTTTACATATATAAGGAAACTGCATGTAAAGCAAAATAATTCAAGGCACCCATTGTATGTTAATCATTGTACGTCCCCTCAGCTCTTCGGTTGGGTATTAAGAAAAGAAATTCCTATACTGCTTTTGTATTACTTGTATAGTGAAAGATTTGAAAAAAATAGCTTCATATGAAAAGTTTTTCTCCGATGAACGAATACAGCTGAAACATGTTTCTGTCTTCAAGTATATCCACAAAACATGAAATAGTATTGTACTCTTTTGTATTCTATTGCATTTTTATATTACTTCGTGGTAAATTTTTTGATTCTTAAATTTCTCTCTCTCTTTTCTTATAATACACAAGTACTCTTTCAAATATGGCTGACCTATGAACCTAAATTTTTATACTATAAAATTTTATATAAAAATTAGCCGTAATCATTAGACACAGCTTTGTGTATATTATATTCTTGAATACATGCCTGCAATTAATACTAAGAATACTATTGATAAAATTCGTGATATAATTAATAATGAAAATACTGTTTAAGCTAAAAACCGATTTGAATCTTTTTTTCATTATAGGGTAACATGAGCCAAACAATTTTCGTTAGAAATATACAATTATGCTAACTTGACACATCAGATAGAAAATATTTTATCGTCATCATCGGCTATGATAAAAGATTTTTACGCTTAAGATTTTGGATTATGATAAAGCACACAGGACCTATTTGTCTAAGGGAAAGGAAGTCTTCAGGGTAGATTTTTTTTTTTTTTTTTTTTTTGTGGGAAACAAACTGTTAATTCACAATCAATTGTACTTATGAAAAACCCCTAAACCTCCCATGCAGCCGCTAGAATTTACCGGTGCTCAGCTATCTTACCGCTTGGAGACTAGTTGGCTTTCTGAACTTACGCAATATCTATCTGAATTTGAATATTTGCATAAAAAACGAGCAAAATAAAATGACACATTGTAAATAGTACATTTTACTGAAATCAAACTTTCTTTGAAAAAGGAAAATTAATTGTAAGGAATAAGATGGATGCATTTAATTAAACGGCGGGCAATAACAGCGCTGATCATATGTTTCGTATAGGAAATCATTTTCTTCGTGTTATCGTATAACGGAAATTATCACAGATTATATTTTTTAACAAAGAAGTCATGGGTTATCTGCTTTAAGAGAACACCTTCATGGGTAATTTTCTAAATAAAATTGGCTTGAATTCACGTTACGCATCGGGAAAATCATAAAGACCACAAGCAGTAAACCAGTTTTCACTGGGGGCGCGCCTCCCAGGGGGTGCGAATGTTAGGGGGCATGCATGTTTCCAAATATCATTTTCGAATACAAACCAAAAAGAAAGTGTCAAAAAATGAATCAGGAGTATACGTAATCCACAATCCTCGCCGCGAATTTTTCGGGTACAAATGCTAAAACATCCCATCTGTTACAACTCGGACTCTGAACTCCCATCGTGCCATCTAGCGAACTTTAGAATTAAATTCCTAAGTAAAAAACTTTGAACTCGATTTGCGTAGGAGGAGACAGTCGAACTGCTATGCAGTAGGAGAATTGGAACCGCTTTGTATCTGAAAGCGCGTTTAATTATCATGGATGTTAAGTGTAAATCAATTATGACTGTATATATGTATATAATAATAATAATAATTTTATTGTAATCTCTATAAAAGGATGTGCCTTAAATTTAGTTTACAGTTTTGACGATCTTCATGTCGATGGAATACTTGCCGCCCGGATTCGAAAAGGTAAGAGATATTTTTACCTTTATTCATTTGAACTTTGTTGTTACACCATCCATACTCTTCTTGGAACGAAATATCTCGCTTTCACGTTTGGAGCCGGTCACCGGTGGGGCGTGGAATCAAAAGATAAGCACTCGCAACATCCCGTAAAATTCTCGTGCTTACTCGCGCCAAACTTCAGTAAACAGAAGCATCTGATTGTTTCTGTTTTCTATGAACAGAATTAGTTCGTTAGTAGTGCTTGCGATAACCACGTTGATATATGGAATGAAACACTTCGCTTTGGTAACTTCTAAATAAATTAACATTGAGGTAAATTTCATAACTGTTATAATAGTACCTTATTAACTAGGAAATGTTAATTTAATGTTGAGGCAGTTTTTCGGCACGAGCGCAAAGTGCCAGGGTTATAAACATCCGTAACAATAAAATAACATCCTGGCCGATGTTAATATACTATTTTTTCACTACTAGCGCTTTTTTACTTTCTCGTAAATTTACCAGTAATCGTTTTAATTGAGTAATATGAATATTGTTATTGGAAAAATTCACGTTTATGTAAGTAGAGCGCAAGTTATTTTTATGTTGTATATTCCAGTAATTAATTTTGACAAAAAAGTTTTTAATTCTACATTTAAAAATTATCCCAATTAAGACTGATATTTAATTTAAAAGAAAATATTGATATAATTGTATTGTATTTTAAATTAATATAAAGTCATTGATTTAAAATAATACCCCTTTTAGATGGATAAATATGTAACTGGCTTGAAAAAAAAATTAAATGAAGCAGAAGCAGAGGGCAAAAGAAAAGATGATGAAAATATCGGAAATACATCTTCGCAAAATAGTAAACCTAAATATAGAAAATATGATCCAATGTACTTATCATTAGGATTTACATATAAGGTTATTAATGGCCAAGAACAACCATTGTGTTTGCTGTGTATGAATACTTTGGCCTCAGACAGCATGAAACCAAATAAATTAAAACGACATCTTGAAAAAGTACATGCAGATCACGTTGGCAAGACAAGAGAATTTTTCCAAAGAAAATTAGAGAATTTAAATAAACAACAAGAAATGTTTTCAAAGACCATGTCTGTAACACAAAAAGCATTGCTTGCGTCATATAAAGTTTCCTTATAGAATTGCTAAATGCAAAAAGCCCCATTCAATAGGAGAAACTTATTCAATAGGTGCTACCTGCAGCTATTGACATGATAGAAACGATGCTCGGTGAATCATATGCTGATCAACTTAAAATCATTCCACTTGCAGATAATACGGTGGGAAGACAAATATCCGATATATCTGAAGATCTTTGCGATCAATTAATAGAAAAAGTAAAACTATCTTCTTTCGCGTTGCAAGAAGATAAGGCTACCGATGTTCTTAAGGATGCACACTTGATAACATATGTAAGATATGTCGTGGAAACTGATGTTAGAGAAGACATGTTATTCTGTAAACCTATTGAATGCAATACTACAGCAAGGGAAGTTTTTAAAATCATTGATAATTTTTTTAATGAAAATGGCATTCTGTGGGAGAACTGTGTTGGACTATGCACAGATGGAGCTCCATCTATGGCAGGAAAAAATGCTGGTCTACAGGCACTAGTTCGAAAGGTGGCTCCTCGTGCAGTTTGGATGCATTGCATGATTCATAGACAATCACTTGTTTCAAGAGATATGGGTGAAGATCTACTAACTGTATTTGAAGTTATTACAAGAGTTGTAAATTTTATCAAAAATAGCCCATTAAGAGGAAGGCTTTTCGCAAAATTGTGTGATGACATGGGTTCAGAATATAGATCACTTCTATACTATTGTGAGGCACGTTGGCTTTCACGTGCCGAAGTACTTCAAAGGGTGTTTGAGCTAAAAGAAGAGATCGCCATATTTCTTAGTGATAATAATAGAGATGAAGCACACTTTTTTTATGACACGAAATTCCTTGTAAAACTTGCGTATTTAGTTGATATTTTTCAAAGACTCAGTATTTTAAATAAATCAATGCAAGGGGCTCAAATTCATGCTTTTACGCAGAAAGACAAGATTACTGCATTTATGAAAAAATTGGAACTCTGGATAATAAGTTTGAAAAATAATAACTTTGACATGTTTCCCACTTTTAAAATTACCTCTCTTGCTGATGAAATAGAAGAAAGTAAAGTTCTTATTAATAATCATTTGACCAGTCTATGGAAGCAATTCTCGTTGTACTTTAAAGATCTTGACATGTCCAAATATGAATGGATTAGAAACCCATTTGTGATTGAAAAATATGATGATTTTGGCCTTACGACAGCAGAGCAGGAAATGATAATTGACTTATCTAGTGATAGCACATTAAAGCAGATGTTTCGAGATGAAAATAATATTGTTACGTTTTGGCTATGAGTAAAGGACGATTTTCCTACTTTGACAAACAAAGCTTTAGAAATTTTATTGCCATTTGTAACATCTTACCTATGTGAAACTTGTTTTTCTACAGTAGCTGTCTTAAAAAAAGTATCAATCTCGCTTAATGATTGAAAAGGAACTGAGAACCGCGATTTCTTCAATGATACCACGGTTTGAGAAAATTTGTGCTGAAAAACAAGCTCAACCGTCACATTACATTTTTATGTTGTAGTAGTATTAATTATGTATTCTTTTTTTTTTTTGTTATTATATTTCTTATAATAATATAATTATATTTTTACATAATATTGTATATTATTTTGTAGCCCATTAAATAAATTATAATATTGGTACTTACGTATTAACGCAACCAGGCCAAAATTCGCATAAATCGTCAAATTTGGCGACCCTACTTACGGCAACCCTACGTGTGTGAAAACAGACGAAAGTTTATTTGTAAAAAGAAAAAATAACACTGGGTGTGTACTACCACAGCAATGGGTTTTCAGCGGAATTTGCCGAGAAAAGAAAGAGTTTTTTTGGTTACTGTACCTAACAGAAGTGCCGTTACCCTCATGGAAAAAATTTGCGAAAATATCAAGGAAGGAAGCATCATTTATTCGTATTGCTGGAAAGGATACAATACAAGTGAGTTCGAAAATGCTGGATTTCTGCATGGAACTGTTAATCACAAATATAACTTTGTGGATCCCAACACGGGCGTTCACACATAACATGTAGAGCGCATGTGAGGCTCAGCCAAATGGCGCAACAAAAAACAGAGAGGAACAGCCCGTCATCATCTTGACTCATACCTTATTGAATTTATATGGTGCCAAGCTCAAACTGTTAATGGCGAAGACAGTTTTCAATCAGTGCTAAAAGCAATAGCCAAAAGATTTCCGCCAAAAAAATAATTCTGCAACTTGTTGAAATTCGAAACCGGAAGGGTTTAATTGCTATTTTATATTTTAAAACAAAATAATATAAAAACTATATTAAAATTATCTGTAATTAATAAATGTACATTTTCTTTCTATTCATACTTTTTTACTCAAACTTACAAATCGCGCCAACCTGGTTGCGATAATACGTAAGTACCATAATATCAGTTGAGTATTTATGAAATTTGATTTTAAGATAAATTAACGGGACACAACAATTTGTTTTTTAAAGGGGGGCACACCAATTTTTTTTTTTTTTTTTTTAAAGGGGGTTGCCGGTACAAAAAGGTTGGAAACCACTGAGCTAAACTGTTCGGCTGCCAACAACAAACTACCAACATCCAGCAATCTTATTCATTCAACTATAGTGAACTTAAATTACTGTTTTTATATTATTAGTAGTATTAAAATAACGAAAATATTTATTCTAATAAAAATTTTTGTTTGAATAACCTCCCTAGTAAATATTTCCTTTGGTTGGAGATTTGTCAGTAATAAATGCTATGTTCAAAGAAGACATTTATTTAGAGCAGAATGCTTCAAAAATGTATGCTGGAATCCCTAGAAAGAAAAAATATTGCCGGAAAATATATCTCCAAAAAAATATTTAATTATTCATATTCTTATGATTAATTATTAAATAATTAATAACTTTTATAATAATTAAATGCAATGCTTATTTATACTTTACCAAATATATAGCAACAGTCTTTCTTTACAAAAATACCATATTGAATTATATTGTAAGCTAATAAGTAACAACATTGCTTTGTTTAATTAAGATACAATAACAAGCTGAACAAACATTAAATTGGAAGTCAAACAACAAAAATCAGCATTATATTTTCAAATTTTCACAATGTAATTTTCATTATATCTTATCTCGTTCATTTGCGCTTTTGCAGCTGAGGATGATGGTTCGGTAAAACCATCGAAACTAGTCCTGTGAAAATTTGAAAATATAACACTGATTTTTGTCTTTGACTTCCAATTAATTGCTTTGTTTGTTATTACTATGTCTCATCTTTCCTATTTCAGATAAAGTTTACTAGTGTTTCTTGGACAGGAAAGCAAGAATTTTTAATTTGAATCAATAAATTTATGATACACTGAAAACGGTTTCAAGTTATAATTCTCTTTCTGAATATCTTGAATGTATATAAAAAAGTAAAATGCAAATTTAATATTAATATTATCATCCTTAAAAAACACCCAAATGTTTCGTTTATTACTCTTAAAACTACGTAATAATTAAGGCAAAAAGAAATTATTTAAAATAATAATTATTTGCATGCAGTTGAAGAATATAGGAAAATGCTGAAAGTTTTAAAGATTTTTAATTAATGACAAAAATACAGAAAATCGGAAATAATAGGAAATGTTTCAGCAATATCTCAGAAGGAATGAAAGTTGAATCAAATATTTGTCAGAATAGAATTTTAGTGATAGCAGTTTAATCAGTCTGCATTGAAATAATCAGTGACATACAGATTTAGTTTACTTAGGTTAAAAATGCGTAATAATTAAAAATTTAACCGGGTAAATTTTAAAACCAATTTATTTGAAAACTAGCAGCTTCACTGCCAGCCTTCGTCTGGCTTTTAAATGTACCGGAAAAATGGCTGAAGGGAACACCAAAAGTTAAATTAAA